TCAATCCAGATCTCCCATGTGGGTGGCAGGAAACCAACAACTTAAGCCATCACTTGCTGCCCTCCAACATTTGCATTGGCAGGAAACTGGAATTATGAGCCCAAGCCAGGGACTAAACCCAGGCACTCTGATGTGGGACAGGAGCATCCTAACCACTGATCCACACTTGCCCTAGGAGCCTGTTTTGAATAAGCCTTCCAAGTAGTTCTCTTACTTGCTAAACTTGGAGGCATAGCATGACAGCATTGCTAGATTTGGGGGAGATTTTTAGGGAGTATTTTGGGGAGCTGGACATTAGTAGGCAATCCAGTGCCCCACATTCTGTACTTCTTCATCATATTTAGAATAGGGCTAAGGCAAGAACTGCAAATTACTGGATCCGGGGTCTCTCCACTGGCCCGTGGTTCACTCCAACATTGCGGGCTTCCAAACAGCTTTGGACGATTTGTTTCACAGAAACCCAGACTGGGGATTCCACAGCAGGGATTCTTCTTGGGTTAAAGTAGGGAAAAACTCCAGTGGAAGTGCTACAAACGCAAATGCTACATGTAAAAATGTAGGCTAGAATTCTGTTTCTAGAAATGAGACTTTCTCCAGTCTCTGAAAAAGCAATAAAATCCATTTACAAAGCAGGTTTTAGTCTTGCCGATAGGACAAGATTAGGAGAGAATGAAATCAAGTGGAGGGTTCACATTAAGGAGGAGAAGTATCTTTGAAACCGTATTGATCCAGCCAGAGAAAAGGAAAGGCAAGGGAAAGAAGATACATCTAAACTTGACTGCTCTACAGAGACTGGAGAAAAGAGGGCTACTTATTAGATCAGGGAAAGTGGTTTACGATTATCAAAGAATATCGAGAAAAAGGACTATTTTGGAGAACAGAGAAAATGTCCTCCCCCTACAAAACAAAGGGTGCGGGCCGGCGCCGCGGCTCACTAGGCTAATCCTCCGCCTAGCGGCGCCGGCACACCGGGTTCTAGTCCCGGTCGGGGTGCCGGATTCTGTCCCGGTTGCCCCTCTTCCAGGCCAGCTCTCTGCTGTGGCCCGGGAGTGCAGTGGAGGATGGCCCAGGTGCTTGGCCCTGCACCCCATGGGAGACCAGGAAAAGCACCTGGCTCCTGGCTCCTGCCATCGGATCAGCGTGGTGCGCCGGCCGCAGCGCGCCGGCCGCGGCGGCCATTGGAGGGTGAACCAACGGAAAAGGAAGACCTTTCTCTCTGTCTCTCTCTCTCTCACTGTCCACTCTGCCTGTCAAAAAAATAAAAAAAAAAAAAAACAAAGGGTGCCCTGATTCATGGGTTATTCTATCCAGAAGGGTCTTCTTTTAGATAGGGTGTCAGAAAAGGCATCAGTGGGGAGCCCCTCTTTGATTACTAGAACTGTGACACTGTGTGGTTATGGGAAACGCGGAGGTATTTTATAAAAGAGCAGAAAAGACCAGGGCAGAATTCCCCAAGCACTGTTAAGTGAAGTTTCAAGGTGGCCTGGTCTTTGGGGCTGGAACATGGAGAACACAGGCTGTAAGTGTGTCTGCCTGGAATGCAGGCGGTGAGAACTCCAAGAAAAGACACGGACTGACTACAGAGGATCCAGGGAGGATGGCGATTGGTGGAGCCCAGGGCTGGGAGGTGGGCTGAGAGAACAGAAATAAATACTGCCAGTCCCGGTGAGAGAAAAGGCGGACAGAGCTTCTGAGCACACTGGGTGTTTGCGCGATCTGGAACGCGCTGGCAGCATTCCATCCCTAGGACAAGGTCAAGGGCAGACTGCAGAGTCATGTGTTTGGAGAGTACCCATCTAAGGCTGAAATCAAAGAGCAATCACAGAGGAGGAAGGTACTGAGGCCCAGCAAAAGGTAGTAGCCCTCCCTGGGGAAAAAAGAAGGAGCAGAAATGACTTTGATGGAAGGTGAAATGCTTAGAACTGCCAGAACAGCAGGAATTCAGCCAGAACTGGAGCGGCCAGGGCTTACCTCTCCGGAGTAGAAAAGGACACAGTGGCAGGAGGGAGCACTTCAGTTCTCATCAGAAAATCACAGGGGCTTTAAGTCTCAGAAATTTATTTTAAGGGAAGATGGGCACGCACCCACCACGTCCATGGAGAGAGGCTGAGGTGTGTGGGCTCTTCCTTAGCTGGTCCATGCCGTAGGCAGGAGGAAGCCGCAGCCCACCCAGGCTGTCCCCCCACCCCCCGCACCCTCAGCAGTAAACAAGACACAACAACTTCTTAGAGAGAAGCCTGAGCATACAGGGGTAAACACCGGCGTCTGACCCGTGGGCTGCAACGGCCCTTGGTATACTCTCGCACATACGAAGACCAAAGGAGACCCTGCTAAAGGAGCCAGAGTGTTCATTGCAAGAAAGCACAGCGGACGCCTTCAGGACCAGAAGCGGACTATATTGAAGACAAGTGACCCAGTGAGTGTGTGTCCAGTTACCCAAATGTCAGAGGAACTTGTGGCCGTGCAGAAAGCTCTAACAGTTGAGACCTGGGGACTCCTCTGGCCATAAGCGCCAGGAAAGCACGCGCCCGCCCGGGGAAGCACTGAAGAAACCATATGACTGTCACCTGCTTAAGATATACATGGGGGGCTGTTTGTGGGGGAAAATAAAAGGATGCATTTTGAAAATGCGGAAAAAAGAAAAGAAGGAAGAAAGAAAGGAGGGAGATAGATAGGTGGGTAGGTAGGTGGGTGGGTGGGTAGATAGGACCTGGGAGAAAACCGATTAGCCCAGAAGATTTCCTGGACCTCATGAGACCAGAGAAAGGCACAGGTTCCAGAAACTAAATAGCCACCCCAGGCTCAGTGGAGAGTCGTTCTCCATGGAGTTGAAAGTGAAACCTCCCAGCCAGAAGCAAGGCTCAGAGGCAGAGCACCAGTAATGGGAGCCTGTGGAGTTCAGAACTGAACCAGTACCCCGGATCCTGCTGGGAACAGGAGTTCAGAGAAAAGAGCAAAAACTCGGGAGCGTGGAGGAGGCACGCCAGCCAGCCAGCCAGCCAGCCTCAGCATCTCTCCTGAGCACTTCTGTCTGAAAAAGCGGGGACCTGCCCAGAGAGAAGGGGGCTCCTCCACTCAATGAGAAAGACCTTCCGGGCAGCAGGGAGTGGCTGCAAACATGGCCCAAGGCAGAAGCAAAACGAAAATGCTCTCAACAGACACAACGGGCCTCAAGGAAGGCCCGGAACCACCAAACTGCAAATGTCTACGGTTTTCTTCTTTTATGTTTCTTTCTTTATTTTCATTTGATTTGAAAGGCAGAGAGAGACAGACAGACACAGAGAGGTCTTCCATCCATAGTTCACTCTCCAAATGCCCAGAACAACCAGGGCTGGGTCTGCCCAAAGCCAGGAGCCCAGAACTCCACCTGGGTGCCAGGTGTGAGCCATCCCAGGCTGTGCTTTAGCAGCAAGCCGACTGGAGGCAGAGAGGCTGGGACACACACCAGGGTCCCATATGGAGTGCAGACAGCCCAAGCAGCGACTTAACTTCTGCAACTCACACTTCCAAGGATGGCGGATTCTGCCCCAGATGTGTGCAAACACAGTGTCAGAATGAATACAACCAACTTCATGAGAAAAGATTTCTCCAGTGAGGCTTACATTGACAGGCGGCAGGCTCTAGCTACAGAAGCTGGAAAAGGACATGCTAGCTTATACTTACCTTTGGTAATTGAAGGTCTACATTGCAAAGGAGACAGTAACAATGACTTCTTCCTGAACTTGACAGCAGGGGGCCCCGTTGCATGATCAAGCTAGGGTTCAGACCTCATCTCCTACTTCTGCTCCCCGCCCCCCCCCCCCCCACCTCACTGCTCCAGCCATCCTGCCGGCCTCGATGTCCCTGAAACCTGCTGTGTGCCTCAATATCCTGGCACAGGGAAGGAGTGACACCCATCACAAAACAAGTGTTCTAGGTTGCAGCAGCCAGAACACTCAGCTGAAACTCAGCAGGGAAAACACTGCGGAGGAGAGAATCTGGGATGTTAATGCCCCTACAGTTTAATTTACAATGGGAGGCAAATTTTATTTTCAGATGTTACTTTGGAGGGAATACTCAGACTGTGAACATGACTAAGCAGCCAGCAATGTACTTGGGGTTAGTGTTATGATGCCACGGAGCACCCTCTGCTGACACCCATCAGACAAGGTGTCCAGGCCCAATCTGAGATGGAGAATAAAATTAAAAAGTGTCATTTCAGCCTCAGAGGCTGTGAGGCCCTCATTAGCGTCCTGTCTTCAAAGTGCAAAAGCTAAACTGCCTACACACGACCCACAAGGTGGGTGGTGAGGTGGTGAGGGTCAGGGAGAAGCCTCGGGAGGTAAGAGCAGCACCTTTATGATTCTGCTGTTCTTCAAAGGGAGCACCTCTTCTGATTGCCCATAAATGTGGCTGTCAAAGGAATCGTGGACAAACGGAACTACAGAGACCCTGGGTCCCTTCCCACTAGGGGGAGCTGTGGAGCTAACTCAGCTAGCCTCTGCCTGGCTTCCTCCGGAGACCACAGAGAAAGTTCCTAAAGAGCTTGAGCCACAGGAGGCCACTGCTCTCCAAGACAAGCTACTGCACTTGTGCATGGCCCATCCTGAGGCCTCTTGGGCTTGCCAGTGTCCATCACAGCAGGGCTCCCATTTCTAGCTTCCTGGAAGCTGGTTCTAGCTGTCCATAATGAATACCCAGAGAGCTCTGTCATCTAAAATTTGGACCAAGCGATACAACACCCAACAGAATTCCCAATCTAGGGAATCCAAGGAGGCCTTAAATAAAGGCTACCCTCGCTCCATACCCCTACGTGCCAGAATCCTGTGGGGAAGGAGATGGATGGATGGTAACGATTCAGGCACCCTGAATCCCAAACGGCATTTTGTTAGAACCGGAACCCAAGTCTCGTGAGCCCCAGCCTCTCATTCTTCACGCCCCCCACACTGTACAGCTTGGTTCACACGTTTAGCTCGCTGTCCTGAGGCAGACAACAGAAAGACACGCACACGCACACGCACCTGCCGGTGCCGTCCTTATCATGACTTGCGCTGAGTGTTGCTCAGGAGATCCCAGGAGGGTGACAGTCACTGTATAATTAGTCGTCGGGTACAGGTCCAAACACGCTACCGGAGCTCCATCCCTCGTCGTGATGTTGAACGCTAGCGTGTGATAAAAGTCGTCCAGATACCACCTTCGGCCCAGAACTCTAAACTGCCATGGGATACAAAGAAAGCGTCGCATTAAATTTTCGGTTGGCTTGCAGATGTCTAGACGATAAGCAAAATGGAGATAAATAACAAGGTTCTTCCTGCTTATCCTCACCCATCTCCGACTATTTTTAATACAATAGCAAGCTAAACAGGAGAAGCTACCTTACCTATCCAACTCAACTTGCCTCTTATCCAGGCTTAGGATTAAGTTTAAAATGTACAACTGCATCTCAGAGAAATAAAATACCAGGTGTTTGGCAACGCAGCTAAGATGCCACTCGGGATGCCTGCATCCCATGCTGGAGTGCCTGGGTTTGAGTCCCTGCTTCACTATCAACCCAGCTTCCTGCTAATGCAGGGAGGCAAGTGGAGAAGGCTCAAGGACTTGGTCCCTGACACCACATAGGAGACCCAGATGGAGTTCCAGGCTCCGGGCATTGGCCTGGCCCAGTCTTGGCTCCAGCAGACATTTGAGAGTGAACCACCAGATGGGAGATCGGTAGATTGATTCTCTCTCTCTCCCCCTCATCTCCATCTCTCTGCCTTTTCAATAAAATAGACACCTTCTTAAAACAAAAAAATAAAGTATCAGGCTATTCTAAAGTAATCATTTAAAGTCCAGCCAACGAAAGAGATTACAACTGAGCTGCTGGACACAAATCTTTCAATTTCTTGTTACTGTAAGGAATCCACAGACAGGCCTCTTCGAACAGAAAACTTCAGCACTCTGAGGAATACCCCAGATGATGCCCTGAAAGCAACTGTGCAACAGTACTTCATTTGGCCCTGCCTGTTAGAGTGCTGGTAACACAGTGTCTGATCCATGGAGTCATCATGCACACCGCTAACTCCCTCACAGAATACCCATTGCCAACTCAACTCAAGCAGCAGGTAGAAGGAGTTAGAGGGGAAAAAAAAAGACTTTTGAAGGGGACAGCATTGTGGTGCGGTAGGTTAAGCCACCACTTGTGATGCCAGCCTCCCACATCAGAGTACCAATTCAAGTTCCAGATGCTCTGCTTCTGATCCAGCTCCCTACTAATGTGCCTGGGAAAGCCACAGGTGACGGCCCTCGTTCTTGGGCCCCTGCCACCCATGTGGGATTCCCAGGTGGAATTCTGGGGTTTTGCCTATGGCTTGGCCAAGTCCCAGCTGTTGCAGCCTTTTGGGGAATGAACCAACAGATGGGAAGATCTCTCTCTCTCTCTCTCTCTCTCTCTCTCTCTCTGTCACTCTGCCTTTCAAATACATAAATGTCTTAAAACACACACACACACACACACACACACACACTTTGTGAAAATGAAGGGAGCAATCTTGACCAGTCCTTGATCAGCTGGTAGAAACTTTCACGCGCACAGTCGTTCCACTGATGCTGCGCCACGGGCTACATCACCCTGGCCTCACTGACCCTCCGCCATCAAAACCTGACGGCAGAGTTCCTTGAGCTCAGTATTGTGGAGTTTCCCTTCTCCACTGCAGCCCCCCACAGCCGTGACCACAGCCTACACTGTATCATCATCAGAGCAGCCCCCCAAGATCTCCCACGCCCTCTTCTCTAAGACCGCTTACTAGTGAGGCGTAGCATGCGGCACGTGTTTGGGCAATACACATACATTCTCTCTTGCAAAATGCCTTTGAACGTTCACTTCTTCCCAATGGATTCGAGATTGTCCCACATGCTATCTTTTTTCAATTTGACTCTTCAATCATTTTAGTGTAGAGCGTGAAACAAGAATCAGCTACTTCCTTACACACTAGTTATAACCAACTGTCCCAGAATCATTCATGAAACTTTTTTCTTGGAAGAAGATTTGAAAATCGTCTTTACCGGTTATTAAATTACTTGGATACTTGAATACGTTCCTACTCCCAGTATTCCTCCTCAGATGGAAATCTGAATCCTTCACTTGCCTGCTCAAAACCCTTCAGTGGCTCCACATGGACATCAGAATAAAATCCTCTGGCTGGCTGGCTCTCTCTCCTTGTGTCTCTCTCCCTCTGCCTCACAAATCATTTAACAATGGGGGACGGGGCGGGTAGGTAGCCTAACAGTTAAGATGCCTGTATTCCATGTCTTAGTGCCTAGGTTGGAGTCCTGGCTCTGCCTCCGGTTTCAGCTTCTTGCTAATGTATACCGTGGGAGGCCTGGATTAAGCTCCTGGCCCCTGGCTTCAGCTCCCCAGGCCATTACAGGAATTTAGGGAGCAATTCAGCACCTCTCTCTCCCCTCCGTCTCTCAAATAAAAAATAAAATAAAAATCCAAAACAGCATAGGGGCAGGTGCTGTGGTCCAGCAAGTTAAACTACTACTTGTGATGCCTGTAGTCCATATCAGAGGGCCGGTTCAAGACCCAGTTACCCCACTTCAGATCTAGCTCTCTGCTAATGCACTTGGGAAGCAGCAGATGGCTCAAGTACTTGGGACCCCGACACTCATTGGGGAGACCAGGATGGAGTGTGTGGCTCCTGGCTTCAGCCAAGCACCTCCCTAGCTGTTGTGGCCTTTTGGGAGTAAACCAGTACATGGAAGATATCTGTCTCTCTCCTCTATCCTGCCTTTTAAATAAGTAAATAAATAAATATTTTTAAAATTAACTTTAGCATAATGTAGGGCTTTCCATGCTCTGACCACCGTTTGGATTTTTGCCTCCTCTCTCCCTCCTTCTCTTTGTCATCTCTATTATCCAATATGCTACTGTGTTTTCCCACAATACCCTTCTTTGCCCTCTCCCCAGCTCTTTTATCTGGATAATTCCTCCTCAGTTTCCAGGACTCAATTCAGCATAGTCTTTGCTTCTAATTTCAAAACTCTATCTGGCCGGTGCCACGGCTCTCTAGGCTAATGCCCCGCCTTGCGGCGCAGGCACACCGGGTTCTAGTCCCGGTCGGGGCGCCGGATTCTGTCCTGGTTGCCCCTCTTCCAGGCCAGCTCTCTGCTGTGGCCAGGGAGTGCAGTGGAGGATGGCCCAAGTGCTTGGGCCCATGGGAGACCAGGAGAAGCACCTGGCTCCTGCCTTCGGATCAGCGCGGCGCACTGGCCGCAGCAGCCATTGGAGGGTGAACCAATGGCAAAGGAAGGCCTTTCTCTCTGTCTCTCTCTCTCACTGTACACTCTGCCTGTCAAAAAAAAAAAAAAAAAAAATTCTATCTGGACACACACACACACACACCATTATCAGCAAAGCATTCATTATATCATATTATCGTTGTCTGTCTGCTTATATATTTCTATTAGTTTGTGCTGGAACTTCCAGGTCCTAATACATGATATTCTTTGGAAAATGGTTATTGAATAATTAATTTTAATTTATTAGGTCTACTCTGTTGGATAATTTGCTAGGCATATAAGACACAAAAATAAATTTAAATTCCTACCTAAATTTACTTGGAATTTTACCCATGATGTTTTTTAAAAAAATGAAGCTAGGCCCAGCGCCATGGCTCACTTGGTTAATCCTCCGCCTGCGGCGCCAGCATCCCATATGGGCACTGGGTTCTAGTCCCGGTTGTTCCTCTTCCAGTCCAGCTCTCTGCTGTGGCCCAGGAAGGCAGTAGAAGCTGGCCCAAGTGCTTGGGCCCTGCACCCGCATGGGAGACCAGGAGGAAGCACCTGGCTCCTGGCTTTGGATTGGCGCAGTGCCGGCTGTAGCAGCCATCTGGGGAGTGAACCAATGGAAGGAAGACCTTTCTCTCTGTCTCTCTCTCTCTGTCTATAACTCTGTCAAATACATAAATAAATAAAATACCTTCTTTAAAAAATGAAGTAAGGACCAAAATCCACACTCAAATGTGAATCTGATGGTAAAATGAGCAGTAAATATTAAATGCAGTAAAATAAAACACAGGTGTACAACAGGATGGAAAAAACGATAGCAGGAGACCAGACCAGCAGCCCTCCTCAGTTCGTCTTCTCAGCTGCATCCATGGCCCATCTCACGTCCACCTCTGAAAACAATGGTCAGACTCTCCACTACTCATTCCATTCGTAGTTTTAAATAGTCCATCTCCACACTAGACATCGCCCAAATTTTTAAATGACATTCTTAAACAGCACAGCAATCGTCTTACTTGGTACATTCGTTCTGATCCGCCTTTGACAGCATGCCTGTTTAGTTTCAAACAAGTTTCGTTAAATATTGAAATATTAAAAAGTCCATCATCTTCTAAGAGGTCATCTTCTAAAAGATACGAAAGAACATACAGAAAAGTTGAATCATCTGAGTGAAACACATCATGACCAAGTACAAGTGCAGCTCTGACACCGTAAGAGAACCAGCAGGGTCCTGGACAGGAAGAGCGTTAACTGTGGCACCAGCAAGCATAGTGACAAGTCGTGGCTCTACAGCTTCTTCACCGTACAACCTTGGCTGAGTCACTGAACCCCTCTGAACCTCAGTTCCCTTATCTGTGAAATGAAGCACTCCAGATGGCTCTTCCCACATCACTGGCTGTTGACAGCATCCACTGACCTATTTCAAAGTTGCTGTGAACAGATAAAGCTGTGATATTTTTACAAAGTAAATTCTACCACTTGCATAGTCCACAGTGCAATGTTACACAAGTAACTAACCATCAGCCAGGAAGTCTGAGAATAAGGAAAAAGGTGAATAAAAAAAAATCAAAGAAGGCTATGGATTAGAACTCTCAAAAAGGACCAGAAAGTAAAGGACCAGGCCGGAGGGTATCTGCTCTCCAAGTAGAAGAGGTCTCCAGAGGTATTCAGTAGCACTCAGCCACAGCACTAACATAATCAGAAGGCAGATTTGTTTCAACCATGATGAGAAAAGAAGGCATTTCATACCCCCTGCAGCCCAAGTCATGACTCCAATGCTCTGTTTTATTAATGTGGTCCAAAAAAGAAGTTTTCTCCCAATGAATTCAAGAACTCACCAGAGTCCAAGAGTAACATCGGTCATTTTCAGGGAACAAGTAAATTTCCTAAGAAGCCTATATGTTTTCTATCTATGAGAAAAACTTGAGCTGTCTGTCAGACAGAGCTATGGTGTCACCATCTTTAATGTGCATTCCTCCCATGGGAGTGTCTGCCACCTCAGAAGCAATAATGATAGCAATAAATTATTCTAGTCAAAACCAGAGTGGCCCACACCCTTTCCAATATCACTAACCTACGCGGCACAAGGCAGTAAGCCTGGAGGAAATATTCCTGGCTGCAACTGGAAAATGTGAAAACATGCTATGAGACAATCTGAAGACCTGCATGTGTGCTCTCCACAATCTTCATAGTTTCTAAGATTCCACAGGGGGGCCGGCACTGTGGCACAGCGGGTAAAGCTGCTGCCTGCGGTGCCGGCATCCCATATGGGTGCCAGTTCAAGTCCTGGCCGCTCCTCTTCCAATCCAGCTCCCTGCTAATGTGCCTGGGAAAGCAGCAGAAGATGGCCCAGGTTCTTGTGCCCCTGCATCCACGTGGGAGACTTGGAAGAAGCTCCAGGCTCCTGGCTTTGGATCTGCCCAGCTCCAGCCGCTGCGGCCATTTGGGGTGTGAACCAGTGGATGGAAGACCTTTCTCTCTCTCTGCCTCTGCCTCTCTCTCTGTAACTTTGCCTTTCTGATAAATAAATAAATAAAAATAAAGCCTTTTAAAAAAAAGATTCCAAAGGTATATCAGAAACAAGAATTGCCACATGTAGACATGTGACATATGTAGACATGTGACTTTGAGGAGCACCAAATGTTTGCATGTGGGAAATACATAAAGAACACGCCTGCACAGAGAACAGGCAGGGGCGCCGTCTGCACAGCTCCCGTCTCGGGCGGATTTTCACATAACACAGCCGTTGCAGTCTGAATTCGGGGGCACAAAGGCATCTGGCTCCCACGTCCCAAGCCCGATCCTGACAGAAGTGGCTGAGAACAAGTAAAAATGTGCCAAAATTTGCATCGGGGTTGGAAAGAAAGTTAGCTGCCATACACAAGGCAGCTCAGGAAGACATCTTTGCTCAGCACAGTGGGGAGGAAACCGGGCTCAAGAGAGACGCCGAGAATCACTGGGCAATCCACCTCCCAAGCGAAGGAATGTGGGATCCAAGTTTCACAGGAAGGAACTGGCAGAGAGCTGGCACGCACGGAGGGAGGCTGCAGGACAGGCCACACCCAGATCCGGGACCAATGCAGCCATGGCGCCCACTGGTTCCCAATCTACCTAACTGCCCATGGCAGTCACCCAGTCACAGCAGCTCTGAAGCAATGCTGGGACGTGATGGACAGCCCCGGGAAAAGTGCACACACCACTACCACCTCTACTACTGCTGACGACAGCCCCTCCTGAGCTCACTGGAGATCAGCAACAGGAAAGCAGAGGCCCAAGGCCCAGGGCAGGAAGCGGAGGGTGTTTCTTTCTCCTATCACAGCCTGGGGACTGCATCAGCTGCCTGCGTGGCAGCACCAGAAAGAACCCAGGCCAACAGCTTCACCAATCAGTCACGACAGCCAAGTGCTCAAGAGATGGAGCTCAGGCCCAGGGGATGCCGCATCACCCAGCTGGCAAGACCTCCTTCACGATGACCTGAGACCTGCAGGCTACCACGAGCCAATAAAAAGCCAGATCAAAGAGAACGGCACCCATTTTATTACAGGAAAAGCATCAGACTTAACAGAACTTTGAAACGCCAAGGATAGCTCATCGGCCAGCCAAAGTAAAAAGAGGCCTATGAAGCAATTCTACAAAGGACAGGCAGATCCTGTGCTTAGGAGGCCAAGGCGGAGCTTCTGAAAAAAGATACTGAGCACAGCCATGGTAAAGCAGAGCTAGGCAGTGCCCGTTTTGTAACCGCAATAAGGAAATTTAGAAGTGGGCTTCAGCCAGAGACAAAGGGTGAGATACCGAGAGACTGCGACAGCAGAGAGGAAGGAGGTTGAGAGGCAGCAACAAAAACGGAACTCGACAAGAGCCAGAAAAAGGAAACGGAGGGCCCCAACAGAACGCTCAGTGCCTCAGAGACGGGAGGGATCGGAAATGTCGACGCATAAATACACAATCCATAAATGCGTGGGGAGAACACACTCAGGCCACGTCAGGGAGCCAGGGGGAAAAGACAGCATTAAAAAAAAAAAAAAAGGATAAGATGAAAATGAAAGCTAAGTGGGCAGACAGGGAATTCCACATGGGGTATTTTAAAAGCCAAAAGCAAACTTTAAAAAAAAAAAGGAAAAAAAGAAAAAAAAAATCAAAGGTTTTTTTTTTATGTATTTATCTGTTTGAAAGGCAGAGTTAGAGAGGGGGAGGGACAGACAGAGAAGAAAGAGATCTTTCGTCCACTGGTTCACTCCTCACGTGGCCACAATGGCCAGGGCTGGGTCAGGCCAAAGCCAGAAGCCAAGAATTCCACCAGGTCATCCAAGTGGGTGGCAAGGGCCCAGGTACTTGGGCCACCTTCTGCTGCTTCCTCAGGCGCATTAGCAGGGAGCTGGATCAGAAGTGGAGCAGGGGCCGGCGCTGTGCTACAGCAGGTTAACACATTGGCCTGAAGCATCAGCATCCCATATGGGTGCCAGTTAGAGACCGGCTGCTCTACTTCCGATCCAGCTCTCTGCTGTGGCCCGGGAAAGCAGCAGAAGATGGCCCAAGTCCTTGGGCCCCTGCACCCACATGGGAGACCTGGAAGAGGCTCCTGGCTCTTGGCTCCTGGCTTCAGATTGGAGCGGCTCCAGCCGTTGCAGCCAACTGGGGAGTGTCACATCGGATAGAGGACCTCTCTCTCTGTGTAACTCTGATTTTCAAATAAATAAATAAATAAATAAAAGAACTAGAGCAGGCAGGACTATCAGGTGGAGCAAACTCTAATGCTCAGAAACCTCACAAGGTCCTAGGAAAACTTGGTGTGAATCCTGAACATCGGTGATTCCCCCAGACTGAATTTCACAAGGTAAGAGATTTCCCATCCCCTGTTGAATTCCCAATGCCTAAATAATGCCAGGCACATGGTAGGTGGTCAATAAACATTTACCAGGCACATGAGTAATGAATAAATTGTTAATGTGTTGAATTTTACTGTTAACAGAAACCTTTATAATATCCAAGCTGGGGGTCGGTGCTGTGGCACCAGTTCAAGTCCCAGCTGCTCCACTTCCGATCCAGCTCTCTGCTGTGGCCAGGGAAAGCAGAGGAAGATGGCCCAAGTCCCAAGTCCTTGGGCCCCTGTGCCCTTGTGGGAGACCCAGAGGAAGCTCCTAGCTTTGGATGGGCACAGCTCCAGCCATTGTGGTCATCTGGAGAGTGACCCACTGGATGGAAGACCTCTCTCTCTCTTTCTGCCTCTGCCTCTCAAATAAATAAATCTTTTTTTTTTAATCCAAGCTGAAAATCACATTGCCTATATAGGATTTTTTAAAAAGTCACACCTTGGGGGCCAGCATTGCAGCACAGTTGGTTAAGTTCCCACCTGAGACACCAGCAACCTATGAGGGTACCAGTTCGAGTCCCAGTTGCTCCCTTCCAATCCAGCCCTCAGATAATGCGTCTGCAAAAGCAGCGGAAGATGGCCCAAGTGCTTGGGTCCCTGCACCCATGTGGGAGACCTGGAAGGAACTTCTGGTTCCTAGCTTTGACCTGGCCAGCTCTGGCCTTTATGGTCATTTAGGGAGTGAACCAGCAGATGGAAGATAACTCTCTCTGTGTGTGTGTCTCTCTCTCTCTGTAACTCTTTCAAATAAATAATGTTTTTTAAAATCTAAAAAAAAAGAATCACACCTTGCTCAAATTCTCAAATTCTTCTTTCAAGATTTAAATTCCCAAAAGCAATGTAACTGCTTGTAGAATTCCAAAAATACTGAGACTTTTTTTTTTTGGACAGGCAGAGTGGACAGTGAGAGAGACAGAGAGAAAGGTCTTCCTTTTCCGTTGGTTCGCCCCCCAATGGCCACTGTGGCCGGCGCACTGCACTGATCCAAAGCCAGGAGCCGGGTGCTTCTCCTGGTCTCCCATGCGGGTGCAGGGCCCAAGGATTTGGGCCATCCTCCACTGCACTCCCAGGCCACAGCAGAGAGCTGGTCTGGAGAGGAGCAACTGGGACAGAATCCAGTGCCCTGACCGGGACTAGAACCTGGTATGCCGGCGCCGCAGGCGGAAGATTAGCCTATTGAGCCGCGGCACTGGCCAATACTGAGGCTTTTAAAACATATACCTAAGCTTAAATAATTGGTACAAATAGTGCCATAAATCAACTTAAAAATGAATTCCTTAAAGACATAATACATGTTAAAATTAAAAAAAAAAAGCTGGCCATGAAACACCACATGAGGTGAATAATTAAGTAAAGGAAGTGGAGAAGGAATAAAAGGAAGAATGGCAGCTTCCTCTGGTTACTCAAGGAGAAGTTAACATTGCTTCAGTTCTTGGCTTTTTAACAGACTTCTTTATTTATTTGAAAGGCCCAGTTCCAGAGGGAGGGAAAGACAGAGAGAGAGAGAGAGATCTTCCAACCATTGGCTCACTCCCCAAATGGGCCCTAAAACCAGTGCTGGGCCAGGTCAAAGCCAGGAGCCTGGAACTGTATCCTGGTCTCCCACATGATGACAGGGACCCGTGAAGTACCTGGGCCCTCCTTCCCTGCCTCCCAGGGATGCTAGCAGGGACCTGGACTGGAAGCAGAGCAGCATTCCAATACAACAAGTGTCTGTTTAATCTGCTGCTCCACATTGCCCACCTCAAAATAATTTTTTAAAAGAGAAAAGATTAAAAAAAACTTATTTTACAAATTTGAAACTATTCTGAAATAAAATGTTTTTTAAAAAGATGACAGAAAGGAAAATTATATCACCAATAACAATAATACAAATTGGTCAGGGCTGGGCACGTGGCACGGTGGGTTAAGCCAGCTCTCCAAACACCTGTATCTCATATCAGAGTGCCAGGTCGAGTCCCAGCTGCTCCACTTCTGATCCAGCTTCCTGATCACGCACCTGGGAAGGCAGTAGATAATGGTACAAGTTCTTTGGTCCCTGCCACCGAGGGAGACCTGGATGGAGTGCCTCGCTCCTGGTTTTGGTTGGCCCAGACTCAGCTGTTGCAGGCATTTGGGGAGTGAACCAGCAGATGAAAGATCCTTCTATCTCTATGTCCCTCTCTCTACTTGTCCACTTCTCAGTCATTCTGCCTTTCAAATAAATAAATAAACCTTTTTGCAGAAGTGGAGCAGTTGGGACTCAAACTAGTGCCTAAATGTGATGTCTATGTTGTAGGCGGTAGCTTTACCTGCTATGCCACAACGCCAACATCTAATAAGTCTTTTTTTAAAAGTTGATCCACTTATCTACTCAAAAATAAAGCATTTTCCCAGAAAACTTCTCAACAATTGCTACCCCCTAGAGTATACATATAGCAATGCTATCCAGATAGCTTTTCAGAAGAAAAACAAAGTAACTGAAGATATATAATGCAAATACAAGCACAAAGAAATCAAGAAAAAGAATAGTATTGTCTCAAAATATAATTCAAGGCAAAAACTACTAAACAGAATAAATGTGACCTTTTGCTATAGGTGAAAGCATCTATAATTAAAGATATCAGGGGCCGGTGCCATAGCGCACTAGGTTAATCCTCCGCCTGCGGCGCCGGCATCCCATATGGGTGCCAGTTCTGTCCCGGTTGCTCCTCTTCCAGTCCAGCTCTCTGCTGTGGCCTGGGAAGGCAGTAGAGGATGGCCCAAGCCCTTGGGCTCCTGAACGTGCATGGGAGACCAGGAGGAAGCACCTGGCTCCTGGCTTTGGATCGGCATAGCTCCGGCCGTTGCAGCCATTTGGAGAGTGAACCAGCAGATGGAAGATATCGCTCTCTCTCTCTCTCTCTCTCTCTCTAACTCTGACTTTCAAATAAATAAATCTTTAAAACAACAACAGCCGGCACTATGGTGCAGTAGGTTAATCCTCCACCTGCAGTGCCAGCGTCCCATATGAGCACTGGTTCAAGTCCTGGCTGCTCCCTTCCAAACCAGCTCTCTGCTGTTGCTTGGGAAAGCAGTAGAAGATGGCCTAAGTCCTTGGGCCACTGCACCCACTTGGGAGACCCAGAAGAAGCTCCTGGCTCCTGGCTTCAGATCAGCGCATCTCCAACCGTTGCAGCCATGTGAGGAGTGAACCAGCGGATGGAAGACCTCTCTGTCTCTACCGCTCTCTGTAACTCTTTCAAATAAATAAAATAAATCTTAAAAAAAAAAAAAACTAAGAAATTCTGCCAAAGCTCAAATTGCAGAAGGGAAAAAGAAACATTGAAGGATTTTATTATCAAATGGGAAAGAATGGAGCAGAGTACATGTGCATCCAATTATGCATTCATTCAATAATTTAGAAATTGAACTCTATCAGCAACTTAAGCATGGTGAAGATACAATAAAAATAAGAGGAGAAATTAATGAGCTAGATAACATGAAAACAATTTTAAAACCCAAGAGTTTGTTCTTTGGGGGAAAAAAAACCCAAGCTAATGGGTTTGTCAAGAGAGAGAGAAACACATAATTAGAAATCAGAATAACCTGGAGTTATATAACCTACACCCCAGCAGACTTGTAAACAAGTATTCCATAGAACATTCTCCCAATATATTTAAAATCTCAATCACATGGACACTTTTAAGGAAAACATCAAGTTAAACAACTGACTCGAGAAAATGGCAGGAACATAAACACACCCACCATTATGGGAGCACTTGACAAAGCTGTGAAAGAACCATTACCCTAAAGGGAGAAGCAAATATTTTATGATCAAATTCATCTACTTGTAAAGGAAGGAAAAATTATATATGTATATATACTTTGCATTAGAAATATTAAAAAGATTTTATTTATGTATCTGAAAGTCTGAATTACACAGAGAGAGAAGGAGAAGCAGAGAGAGAGAGAGAGGTCTTCCATCCACTGGTTCACTTCCCAGTTGGCTGCAACAGCTGAAGCTGCACTGATCCAAAGCCAGGAGCTTCTTCCGGGTCTCCCACGTGGGTGCAGGGGCCCAAGGACTTGGGCCATCTTCCACTGCTTTTCCAGGCCATAGCAGAGAGCTGGATCAGAAGAGGAGCAGCCAGGACTTGAACCAGTGCCCATATGGGATGCCTGCACTGCAGGCAGCAATTTTATTCACTACGCCACAACGTCGGTTCCAGAAATATTTTTTAAATGTAAAAAAAAAGGAAAATGTCCCTTTTCACAGGGACCCAGTGTAACCCCGATCACGAAATCAAACACAGGAATGTGCAGGACCTGGGGAAGAGAGTGACAGCTCTTTACAACAGCACAGACAGGAAGCGAGGATGACATGAGCAGATACCAAGTGAAGGCACAAACACACCTGACTCCCAGCCAGGCCAGCTCCATATAAATCCTGATTCTCACTACATGAACTTGCACATTTAACTAACTTCATTTAAAACTTCAGACAGATGAAAGCAGGCCAAAAGCACTAACTCTGGCCTGGTCAGCTAACTCTCCCATGCACAGCTAAGATGCAGAACCAGGTCTGTCTGCCTCCAAACACCATGCATATGCATCCCCAGGGCAGAGCTGCTCGAAGAGGTGATCAGATATTGGAAGCAGCAGCCGGCACTAAACAGCAAGCTGTCATTCTGACTTGACTGTGACAAGTGAATTGGGAGTCATGTGATGGTCTTTTAAAGAGCACATTTGCCGAGGCCAGCACCATGGCATAGTAGGTTAAGCCTCCGCCTACAGGGCCAGCATCCCATATGGGCGCCCGTTCGAGTCCTAGCTGCTCCACTTCTGATCCAGCTCCTTGCTAATGCACCTGGGAAAGCAGTAGAAGACGGCTCAAGTCCTTAGGCCCCTGTGCCCACGTGGGAGACCCAGAAGAAGCTCCTGGCTCCTGGCTTCAGAGGGGCCCAGCTCTGGCCACTGTGGCCATGTGGGGAGTGAGCCAGCAGATGGAAGTTCTCTCTGTCTCTCCCTCCCCCTGTAACTCTGTTTCTCAAATAAAAAATAATTTTTTAAAAAAAAGGACATTTTGCCTATAAATTTGTAGCATCTTATGAATAATTTTTGTAAAGTGTCTAAATAGTTAACATATTGATTCTATAATTGCCTACATACTACTTACTTGGAAAGAAATGACTGTTTTATTTAAATAGAAGGACCAAGAGACCTAATTTGTGTAATTTCTTAGTTGGCTTTGTATTGTTAAGATCGGCAGATTTCTCAATTATTTCTCCCAGGACCAAGTGGCAGCAATGTCTGAGGGTTAGGGTACGTTTTCTTAAATGGGACATCAATCAGCTATAAAGAGTTAACTCCTCCAAAACAACAAATGACAACCGTAGCCTCTCAGGAGGCGTAACTGTCCTGACATCCTATAACCAGAATTGTTTAAAAATCATTGTCACAATGCTGCTAGAAGCCATATGACAGTTATGTGGCATGACATTTATTCCCACTTCTGGAAGCCCCTCCTGTCTACTCCTTTTTTTACCAACATCTACCCTCCCGCATGCCAGGGCTGCCTCTCCCTATCTGCTCACCAACCCTCCACTTGATCCCCACCCCAGTCAGTCCCAGGGTCAGCTCCCACCCTCCACGTGCAGCTCCTAGGCCAGGCCTCCTACTCCTCCTGGGCAACAACTCGAGATGACTGGCGTTTAGTACCAAAGCCAGGTCATGTGACTACCCTGTCGCCCCGGATGATTGAGAATCGGCTGCATCATCACCTAAAGTTCTCTCCTTTTCTTATATTACCTCCGCCTGTACCAGAGGGCTCCGCTGAAATATAACTGCAGCAGTGCCCATTCGGTGGCCTGGTACTAACAGGTTCAGAATCACCCCTACTAGAACTGCTCTGCTTCTGATCCCAGAAGCAAATGTGAACTCTCCCACCAGGCCGATTCCAAACCTCGAGCCCCCACATCCCGGGCTTAATAGTCTCAAAGAGAAAAGGAGATTTGCCCTGCACCTACCAGCTGTCTGGAAAACAATGACGGCAGATGCAGAGCGCCTGGGAGGAGCTGCAGAAATGCTCACGGTGTAGTTGGTGCCTGGGTGCAGGTCGAGGCACACTTCTGGGGTCCTGCTGACGGTGGTCAAGTTGACTGTCTCCTCGTGAACTACTTCCATAGGGTCCAACCGTTGTCCTTTTATATGTATCTTTGAGAGAGGAGAGACCAGGAGACACCCCCTGCCTCCATGACTCTGGGCTAAATGACAAAGACTGGGGCCAGCACTGTAACACAGCGGGTAAAGCCACCATCCACAGCGCCAGCATCCTATATGGGCGCCGGTTCAAGTCCCAGCTGTTCCACTTTCAATCCAGCTCCCTGTTAATGTGCATGGGAAAGCAACAGACAATGGCCCAAGTGCTTGGAACCCCATATTCAAGTGGGAGACCTGGAAGCTGGCTCCTTGGCCCTGGCCATTGTGACCATTTGAGGAGTGAACCAGCAGATAAAATAAATGATGAAGATGTTGTGGGGCTGGACCCTACTCTTCTGCTACCCTATTTTCCACTGCACTGCTCTTCTGGGGAGGATAAATGAGGTCAGCCTCTGCTAACAGGCATCTGATCGGCCCCTTCTCAATACACTCTACGGAGAGACTTAGATGAAAACCATCCTGGCGATGCTCTCCTGCACACACACGCTCAGCAGTCAATGGGGCAGACTCAACCCGAGGACCGCTCCCTGCATCTCGTCACCAAGGCAACAGACGCTTCCAGGCTTCCTCTGGGGGAGTGGAATGCAAGTGCTTGGAAACAAGCAACAATGAGGATGCCAACTACAAATGCAGCCCCCACACTGTCAAATGGCAAATACACTAAACATAAAATGTAAACAAAGAAAATCATCACATCTCAAACATTCCATTGACTTTTTTTTAAATGACAATGGATGAGTAAGTGGTGGCAGTGTGGAAGCTCTTACAGAAGCAAGTCCTCTGACTCAGATTCCCATGGGCTGGCACGTGTGCCCCAGCAGGGAAAAGTAGATCGCATTACTTACCACATACATGATCTCCAAGTTCATTCTTCCTGAGTTTGTTTGCCACCTCACACAAGTGTTATTAAACACGGATACATTCCTTATCTCTGTCACCATTTCTAAAATAAGAAAAGAGAGCTGACTCACAAAATGCACCCATGGACTTTGGAAAAATCCTAGTGGAAATTCGTTTATCTGCCCAGCTGGTAACCCTGACAACCACCATTCATGCTGATTCATACGCTGAATCAAGTAATTCCTGCTCTCCTAGGCCAAGTACCCAACTTCCCTGCCTCGTGAATGAGCCTGGCCCATTACCTGACATGGAGGCCCAGGAAAGATCCTGCTTGAGTAAGAACTCCAGCCTGTGATTAGCCTGACAGGCCACGGGATGCCACTGGCGTTCCACTCAGGTGGGCTGGCTGGAGGCCTGAAGCTCCCCTAGCACAGGTGACTGATCCGGCCTTCCTTACCCCAGGGGGTGGGAGGTGCAGTGAGGGAGGGTGGGGGCAGCGCTCTGCTCTGTTCAAATCACTCACAGGCCCCAAAGGGAAAGTGGCAGGTATTACACCCCCCCCCACCCCCGCCAGTCCTCAGGAGCAGCTCCCGGGGGCTAATTCCCCATAAGCCTCCTGGACACCTCAGCAACCCAGCTCAGCTATCAGGAAGCCATTGATCTCCTCCAGTTGTTCTGCTTCTTTTTTTTTTTGACAGGCAGAGTGGACAGTGAGAGAGAGACAGTGAGAAAGGTTTTCCTTTGCTGTTGGTTCACCCTCCAATGGCTGCCGCGGCCCGCGCACTGTGGCCAGCACACCGCGCTGATCCGAAGGCAGGAGCCAGGTGCTTCTCCTGGTCTCCCATGGGGTGCAGGGCCCAAGCACTTGGGCCATCCTCCACTGCACTCCTGGGCCACAGCAGAGAGCTGGCCTGGAAGAGGGGCAACCAGGACAGAATCCGGCGCCCCGACCGTAAATACCCTGCATACCCTTTCCCTGTGAGGAAATCTGGCAACACAGGAAGTCCTTGGAGGGTTCCCCAAGACAACACAGTTTCCAAATTTCCCACTCAACCACCTAGGAAGCTGTTTAAACAGGAATTAGAGGAGGAGGTGGGGGTAGGATGGAACCAAGTTTTTAATTCCTTTAAAATAAAACTCCCTGTAGACGAGTAAAACGCTCTCTATTTGTGGATGTCATGGTCTTGTGTAGAGAGAACCATCACAAATCCAAATTCACACACAGGCTCTGAGTTTTACAGCTAAGGAAAGAGTTGCGTGAGGTTACACGACATAATATCAATGCACACAAACCAACGGTGTTTCTGTACCCCAGCCATGAGGGCTCCAAAAATGAAATGGAGAAACAACTTCACTTATAAAAGCATCAAGAAGGAAAAACCAACCGGAGGCTTCTGCAGAACGACGCCCCCGTATCGTCACACCTGGAGAAAGGACCCTCGCTCCACCCAGCAGGGATACCCCCCAGCCCTCCCACTGACTCAGACAACGCTCAGTACTCTCCAGCCGCTGGCAGCCCACCTGCGCCTTGTTCTGGCACCGCCTGGGCTGCGGAACATGACTGACTGCGTTTCACTTTCTATTCTAGGTCTTTGCTGTGGCATCCACGCCCCAGCACAGGCAACCTGACAACACAGGGAGTCACAAAGCCTTGGGCACAGGAGCTGGCCGGTAAATCCTCCCCCCTTGCGCTCTTGGTCTGCAGCCTCTGGGGTGTCTCCCGCTGCTGCAGCAGCCCCCCTCCTGAACGGAGACCAGCACAGGAAGGCCGCCTCTTCCCTGGCTGCTTTGCTCCCCGTGGTCCCCGCCCCCTGCTTCCCAGAGATCTGATTCCCTATTGCATAACAGTAACCCTGCCTCCGGCTCTGCCTTCTGCACCAACCCAGCTAAGACTCCCATGGAGAAGAGTGGGAAAGGTAATTCCCCATCTCAGAACATAATTCTCATCTCAGCTCCTGTGCCTCCTTATAAATCTCTCCTCAGCCTCCGAACGGGGACACCTGAGGACACCTCTCCAGGACGCACCACGATGCCAACTCCGGATCGGCCCTGGTACTTCTTTACTAAGTCACCCGTCAGTACCACACCTGGACTCTGTATCCTGCATCATGCGGTCTCCAGGCAGCTCAGGGGGAGAGGGAACAAATGGTGGCAGAAAGGAAAACAGGTGATCTCCTGCAGAGAAGCCAGGGGATCCCCTGTGCCTGTCTTTCCTGGCTCTCTGCACCTCCATTTCTCCCCAGAACACAGATAAATTGAAATCAAAGGAATCCTATGTTTGCGGTCGTAGGTACCAGCGAGATGCACTATCTCCTTTGGGCAGCACACAAAGATGATGTTGATGGGGCCGGCGCTGCGGTGGAGCAGGTTAAGCTGTCACCTGCAATACCAGCATCCCATATAGGTGCCTGTTTGAGTCCCAGCTGCTCCACTTCTGATCCAGCTCCCTGCTAATGTGCCTGAGAAAACAGTGGAGGATGGCCCAAGTGCTTGGGCCCCTGCACTCAAGTGGGAGATCCAGAGGCTTCTGGCTTAGGTCTGGCCCAGCCCTGGCCATTGTGGCCATTTGGAGAGTAAACCAGCAGATCGAAAATTCTCTCTCTCTCTCTCTCTCTTTCTCTCTCTCTCCCCTCTCCTCTCTCCTCTCTCCTCTCTCTCCCTCCCTTTCCCTCTTTCTGTAACTCTGCCTTTCAAATAAAATAAATAAATCTTAAAAAAAAAATAAGATGAGGTTGACCTCAGCCTTCAATCAGCATGAACAAGTCCCACATGTTCCTGGCTCCCCTCCCTCCTTTTATTTACTTATTTTAACAGATTTATTTATTTATTTATTTATTCGAGAGGCAGAGTTACAGACAGAGAGGGGGAAAGACAGAGAGAGAGGTCTTCCATCCACTGGTTCACTCCCCAAATGGCCAGCTGGAGCTGGGCCAATCCGAAGGCAGGAGCCAGGAGCTCTGGGTCTCTCACACAGGTGCAGGGGCCCAAGGACTTGGGCCATCTTCTTCTGCTTTCCCAGGCCATAGCAGAGAGCTGGATCTGAAGCAGAACAGTCAGAACTCGAACCAGCACCCACATGGGATGCCGGCACTGCAGGCAGAGGATGAACCTGCTATACCACAGCGCCGGTCCCCACCTTTCCCCTGCTTGTTGTCCTTCAAATCCCCAGAAATCTAGGTACCTCTGCTCACCCACACTGCTCAGATGCCAACTTCCCACCTGGCCCCAAGGGGAAAGAAAACCTCCCAGCACTCAGCTCCTCCCTCAGTTGCCAGTAGGGCCAATCGCCTTCTCACTCTGGGCCCTCTGTCACCCTAGCAGAGACTAGAGAGGAACTTCCTTCCTTCTCCTTCCCTTTAGCGGGCTCACCATGACAACTGTAAATGACGTCTCAAAGATGCCATCTGCCTCCAGCCTGTGCTGTGCTCTCTGCACAGATGAGATTACAGGAATGTCAGATATTTCAGCCGAAAGAGCAGTTTCACAAAGGATGGTTGCCCAGGCGTCTGCAAATCAGATGGAAGGACTTCTTTACAGACATACCGTGGACGCTGCCCTCTTACGAGATGGCCTGGGAAGCTGTGCCTCAATTCTAATCATGCAGATCCCTGAAGACATCACTGGGAGTTCTCAGAGCTCTCTCCAGGGCTCTTCTATCCGCTGTCCACCGCTAATGGAATGGCTAACCAGCACCATGCGTCCTGCCATGCCAGGCACCTGCTACTAACGATCAGACCATCAGCCCTGCCCTCAAAGAGAAGGGTGTCTAATGGAGGGAAGACGCACAGGAGCAGGGGAGCTACAGCTCAGTGCTACCAAAAGTGACACAAGCATCAGGAGCATGGAGAAAGGCATCAGCTTTCTCTGGGAGGCCCAGGCATGAGCTCAGTGGATGAAGGGCTGAGGAGCGGCCTGCTCCCCGGGACAGGGAAAGGGTATGGCATCTTCTGAGTGGTGAGAGATGAATCTCACATGACAGGGAAGGGAGGCTACTGGGCCAGCACAGGGTCACACTGGGATTCGGACAGACTGAGCCCCCTGAGCAAGGGGCAGCTAACAGCAAGAAAATGATAGCAAGAGCTGGAGCTTTCAAAAGAGAACCCTGCGAGGTGTATCTTGGAGGAGACACTGGAGTGCAGATGAACCAGAAGTCACAGGAAAGGACGCGATCATGGGTGGCTAGCGTATGTCAGACCCAGACAGCTCGCTGTGGCCTTGACCTGGCTTTCATGGCAGCCATAAGAAAGAACAATAGAGAGAGCCAGAGGGGCCGGCGCTGTGGTGCAACATGTTAAAGTCCCAGCCGGTAGTGCCAGCATCCCAAATGGTTGCCAGTTCGCATCCCGGCTGCTCCACTTCTTTTTTTTTTTTTTTAAGATTTATTTTGTTTATTTGAAAGAGTTACAGAGAGAGGTAGAGACAGAGCGAGGGGTCTTTCCATCCACTGGTTCACTCCCCAGATGGCCACAACAGCCGGAGCTGTGCCGATCTGAAGCCAGGAGCCAGGAGCTTCTTCTACTGCTTTCTCAGGCCATAGCAGAGAGCTGGATCGGAAGAGGAGCAGCAACGGGACTCGAACCGGCGCCCATATGGGATGCTGGTGCTTCAAGTCAGGGTGTTAACCCACTGTGCCACAGCACCGGCCCCTGGGCTGCTCCACTTCTGCTCCAGCTCCCTGCTAATGCGCCTGGGAAAGCAGCGGAGAATGGCCCAAGTACTTGGGTCCCTGGTGAGACCCAGATGAAGCTCCTGGCTCCTGGCTTTGGCCTGGCCCAGTTCTAGTCATTGCAGCCATTTGGGGAGTGAACCAGAAAATGGAAGACCCATCCCCCTTTGTCTCTACCTCTCTCTGTAACTCTGCCTTTCAAATAAAATAAATCTTTAAAAAGACAGAGATCAGAAGAATGAGGTGAGAGAGAAGGGACAGAGAGGAGTCCAGGCTGAATGCTGGCCTTATAGTCTGGAAGGCCTGAGTGGGTCGTAGCCGAAGGCACGGGTGCAGGTGACACACGCTAAGAGGACACAGAGAGGGCCCAAGGGACGCTGGGAGAGTCCACATCCTGAGGGAAACCATGGGAGACAGAGCAACACAACACAGAGGTG